AGCCCGCCCGGGGCCCCGCCCCGCCACGGTGGCAGATAGCCCTCCCGCCGCCTCCTCGCCGGCGTTATCCGCTCGCTCGTTCCCGAGGTGACGAGAAAACGTCCCCACCAGCCCCAGGCACCCGACCGCTTCGGCTCTCCGTCGCCCTCTCTCCTGCCAGGAGCCCTTTGGCCTCTCGGGCTTTCCCCAGGGCAAGAGGCTGCCACCCGGCGTCAGCGTGACCCGGCGTGGACAGGGACAGACCGACACGGAGGGGGACAGCCGGACGTGCAGCCGGACGGAGCTGTACGCCGAGCCCCCGCGCGCGGCAAACCCCGACGGCTGGCAAAAATACAGGCCTTCGCCCAGCCCGGTTTCAAGAGCTGCGCGTGGAGAAACCTGGCAGGCCGGTCGTAGGAAGACGCATGCTCCAAAGAGGTCATCTTTGCAAAAGAAAGTCCTGCCCAAAGGCCAGGAGAAGTCTGTCCACTGGGTGCCAAGCACCATTTGCTGCAGGACCTGGGGCCACCCTGGATCTATCCCGTTCAGTCCAGCCCAAGCAGCACCCCAGCGTCAGCCCAACACGGTGCGCACGCGCTTGCCGGGCTGCAGGGAGGAGAGCGATCCCCGCTGCCCCGGTGGCGGATGTCCGGGCAGAGGCTTTGCCCCCAGGACCCTGCCGAGACCACCCGCGCAAGGGGAGACCTCCACTCCCAGTGCGGAGATGGGGAGCAAGCACGCACAGCAATTAAATGACTTGCCCATAGGCACCTCGAGGGCCCATGCTACACCAGGGACGTGAGCACAGGTCTCTGCTGTCACACCTCTCACCCCCCAGCTCCCACGTGCTTTTGCGCGGCACACATCTGAGCTCCTCAGCAAATGAGGCCAGGCACTTCTCAGCCCTCCCTCTGGCAGAAACACAGCCAGAGCAAGCGGAGGAGAAACCTTCACCCTCCATCGCTCAGCCTTGGGCAGTTTCACATAGAGCCCTGCTCCCTTTCCCAAGATAAATTCTTTTGTCTTTGATGTAGAAGCTTTCTCCCTCAGCTGATCTGACTTTAATTGTTTCTCTCTGATTGTAATCAAAGTCTAATTAAAAATACCCTTTAAATTATTGTTCTGGCTAGCCTGAAATCTGAAGATATGAAATGTGCTTGCTTTCTCTTTCTTTCTAGCATCTTCAACCAAATGGATAGGCTTTAATCCCAGAGATAGTTTAACAGGCAGGGCTCAGTGACTCTAGCTGCTTCATTTAACAAGTTTGATCCATTATTCCCCTCTCAAGTTGTCAGTGGTTTGCGATGAACTGATAACGAAGTTGTGTCCTAACAAGGCCAGTGCTGCCAGCCTGTGATCTAGGCATAGATGAGAATTTCTCATAGCGATTCCCAAGCAAAGGCACCATGCTGACCCCGGCGGCATGGGGATGCTGGCAGGTGGCCTGCTGTCACCTGGGGCTCCTCGCAAGGGGCTGTCCAAGGCAGCATGCAAGCTCGCTGCGCCTGCCTGGATGGACACCAGTGCCCACTGCAGCCGGGGAAGAGGGTGGTGCAGGTCTACACACTCACTTGGAGCCTCCAGGACATGTTTAATGACGACATGAGGCTGATGAGAAAAGGTTACAGGCAGATGGGGACCAGGAAGCTGGTTTTGGGGCAAGAGCACTCTATCAGTCACCTTTGTGGGGCAGCTCAGCCCTCCTCTCCTTGCCCACACAGGGCTAACTCTCATGGGCCCCCGGAGGGGATGGGAAACCACAGACCAGGTAGATAATCACAGACCTCTCCTTCACTTGAACCCCTGCTTTGGATTGATCCTCCTCACAGCCCTTGTTCTCTTACCTGCGTGACCGGTGGCGAGCATGGTCACGTCTCTCCTTCCCTTTCACACAACCATTGGTAGCGGAGGCCTCCTTAGATGCATTGCCACTTGGCTTTTCGGGACATCTGTCCTCTGCAGGGTATGACAGGCAGCTGAGCGTCCCACTGCTAGGGTGACAGGAGAGAAAGCCAGCAATGAAGGGCTGTCCTTACAGTTAGGGACGTTTGCTGAAGGTTTTTTGTGTACTCAGTGATTCCCTAAGACCACAGGCCCCCAACCCACACTGCTTTGCTTTCCACAGCTGGAGAGCTGCAGCCTGCATGAAGGAGAAGTGAGTGGTTTTAAGCCTTTCAGGGAGAGCTGGAAGTTACTCTCCAGCCTCCTGAGCCCACGTCTCCCAGCATGGCTCCATCAACAGCCCCAGGAAATGGGGCCGGGTGCATTAACGCAGCAGCTGAGG